CACAGACACAGACACAGACACAGACACAGACACAGACACAGACACAGGCAGATATGTTGCTCTTGTTCTTCTCTCACTGTGCCTCCCTGCAGACAGGGTGTTGTATTCACTCCCATTTTCTGTCCTTGAACCCAGTTACAACATGCTCACATTCCCCCCAACATTTGCTGATCCATGTCTCTAATCTAAAATGCCTTTTTCTACCTCTTGAAACAGTACTCATCTTAAAAAAATATATTTATATTTATTTTGTTATTTTATGTTATGAGTGTTTTCCTAAATGTGTGTCTATGCAACCTGTGTGTACCTGATGCCTACAGAGACATCTCTGCAGATCTCCTGGAACTGGAGTTATGGGTGGTTGTAAGTCCCCATATAGGTGCTAGAAATTAAACCATGTCTTCTGAAAGAGCAGCAAGTGCTCTTCACAACTGAGACATCTTTCCATCTTTGACAGTGTCCATCTTAGAAGGCATAACTCAAATGTCACATCCCCAAACCTGCTTCTATTTCCCTCTTCTCTTTCAGCCTAGTTCTCCACCTCCTCTGCTTGCAATGGACTTGCTGCTTCTACCCTGACAGCAGTCACTGGACTACTTCATGTGTCTACCTTCTCTGGATTTTCAGCCTTTTGTGGCAACCCTCCACCCCATGAATTACCAGTCTCTGTATGTTCAGTGATCACTACTGTAATCTTTCAAAATGAATTGGATTATCCTGGCACTAGAGAAAGCTTCTAAGTTTCTTGGACAGCCTTTCTGGATTCCCGGGAGTATAGAACATTTGGCAGAGACATCCGGGAAAGCAGTGCTCTCCTGCCTTCCTTAACTCACTGTCTTCACCTCCTCTCGTTCTGAAAATGCACAAGAACATACAAAAGGCAATGTCTAAACATCACTAGAGAACATATAGATGTTACAGCAGAGGGGTTGTAACGGTTTATGATACAGAAACAGCCTTGAACAATAAGCCATGCAGCCTCTGAGGTTACCTTGGGAACTGGCTAGTTCTGTGGTGACTGACATGCCCTTCGAGTTTCTACTTCCTCTTCTGTGAAATGACTGTGCATTGGTGATGTCTGAGTTTGCTGGCTGTGCAGTTTGGGAGCATTCAGATTTTTTGATCCAGTAGAAGGTAAAAAGAAGGGAAGGCTGCTGTTGAATCATGGGACCGTTCGCTGTCTTGTCTTCTGGCAGTGCTGAGAGTCCAGTGTCATGAGGGTCAAAGAAAAGCCGAGCGCTCTAAAATAGTTAAAAGAGAATATTTCCTTTTATGGTTTTCTTCTTCCTTCTTCTTTTGTATTTTTGAGACACAGCCTCCTCTCTGTAGTGCAGTCTGGCTTGTAACTCACTATGTAGCCCAAGTTGACCTGGAACTCACAGCAATTCTCCTGCCTCAGTCTCTCAGGTACTGAAATCACAGGTCTGAACCACCAGGCTAGACTCTTTGCTATGTCTTGAGATGTCTCTGAAGGGAGCTTTCACAAAGGTGAACTAATCACTGATCTAAAGTGCACTTCCTTGGTCAGTCAAAGCTGTGCCCTAGAGCTGATGGAATCAGCCAGGAAAGCTGGCCTCTTCTTGTCCCCTCTATGACACACGAGACAATACCCATCCTCTGATGCCATATGGTCTTTATTCCCATAGTAAATTGTTCTAAGATTTAAAATTATCTGCCCTTTATCCAAGAAGAGACTAAAGTCTTCCTTAATATCTCAGAGAAATTTAGAAGACTCTCTCGGAACAAATCTGGGGTGACAGAAATGCCAAGTCCACAGCCATCTGCTCCCTCAGCCGTCTTATGTGTTCCCCTGGACAGCACCTGTCTCCAACATCTGAAAGACCATCTTGGAATTCTAGTGCTTTCTTTTGTTCTTTGATATCCATTCCCACTCAATCTCATCTCGTGGACAGCTCTTTGTACTCTCTCTTCCAACAAGTCAACACTGATGTATTAGGGGTGTGTGTGTGTGTGTGTGTGTGAATTTACAAGCAACTTAACAGAAGAAGGGGTTATTTTTACTCACTTTTGAAACTGTCTGGTCACTCTATTATGGCCAGGAAGGTTCAGCAATAAAAGTTCAGCAATGAGAGTTGCCAGTGACTGTGGCAGAGGAAAGATGAGATGGCTGCCTATATCACCAACACTGGGAAGATAGATCAGTACAGATGGATCAGGGCTATAAACTTTAAGACTTGACTCTTTCCACTCTGGCTGATCTACTTCCTTCAGGTAGGTCTCACTAAAGATCTATAGCTTCCCAAAAGAGTGCCACATCTGGGGACTATGTTTCCAAATGCTTCCCATCCATACCATAAAGATCACCAGTCGCACCGGGACATCTGCCTCCTCCCTCTCAAAGTGACTAGCTTGTGGTTGTGGGTAACGGATTGAGGTTTTATTCTCAGCAATAATTCATGTTATAGAAAGGCTTCTGGTGGCCAGGAGCTCATTATTGTCATACTGTTGTCACCAAATGTGTGACAGAAACAGCTTGGAGAGAAAAGGCTTATTTGGCCTCTTGCTTTCACAGGGGTTTGCTTGACACCTGTGAGAAAGCCCCAAAAGGAGTCACTAGGTCCTTGGTATTGGGAGCAGGAGATGGCTACTTGTTGATGTTATCACAGGCAGGAAAAAAAAAGACCCAAACTGGAAACACAATACTCTTTGAAGCTTGTTCCTACTTCCTCCAGGAGACCCTACATTCCTAAGGTCCCACAAGCTCCTGCAAGACAGCTCCATCCTCTGTTTAAACACATGGGTTCAGGGGACATTTCACACTCTAAACTGCATTTTCAGACACTCTGTCTGTAAAGATTGGTTAAGGTGACAAAACCAGGTCATGAAGACACCTTTTAGGAGCCTATAGAGGGAGTGTCAGTGATAGGTGATGACAATTTGAGTCAAGTCTGGGACGGTAGGAACAGCCAGATAGAAGAGCTGAGAGGTAACGAAGTTGTAAAATCACCTGGATCCAGCATTGGTCTAGGTGTGTGTCCTGAGTTCAGGGATTAGGGAGACCACCAAGGGCTGGGGGCCTGAGAACATGAGCTATTTACAGAGACGTGAAGTGCTAGAGTCACTGGATTAGGGGAAGAAGAGACGGACGAGGGACAGAGACGGGCTACACTGGCTAGGGGGAATGTGTTAACTATGAGCACTAACCTCTCTTTGGCCTCCTAGCTTCTTTCTTCTTTCATGCTCCAACTCAAAGTCACCCATCTCTGCTACACACACACACACAGACACACACACACATGCACACACACATGCACATGTGTGCACACACAGAGACACACACACACATACCTTCCTAACATGTTCTACACCTAAAACAGTCCACAAAGTCCCGTCCGAATGGTGATGAATAGTGAAGTGTGGAAGTTGGAAAGGGTATGGGGTGAGACTTGGCCACAGTCCACAGACTTGTGCAAACTTGAGTGTCTCCTAATCTCTCTGCGTACCAGTCTTGCTTTCTTCCCATGAAACAAAACGTTTGGACCTGCTGTCATCTAAGGTAACTCTTGAAGGGCTGTCTGGTTCTCTCATTCTTTGCTCTTCATTCATTGACTTTGTCAAATCCACAGCACATATCTAAGACAGAATGCTACCACCAAACCAAGGCAGTCTTGCCCACACAGAGCACCAGAAGTGCCCTTCGCTGTGGAGCTTATTCGTTTAATTTGAAGAGTTAATATAGATTGTGATTTAATTTATACTTGTAAAATTCAATACATGGGTTTTAGATTTTAGATTTATTTGTTTTACTTTATGTGTATGAATGTTTTGACTCTGTATTTTATGTGTGCACACAGACTATTGGATCCCCTGTAACTGGAGTTACAGAAAGCTATGAACCATGATGTAGGTGCTAGGAACTGAACCTGGATTCTCTGCAAGAGTCACAAGTGCTCTTAACTTCTTGAGCCAGCTCTCCATTGTCCCGGGTACAAACTGAATGAGAAAGTGTAGAGTTATAGGACCCACTCTCTGTGGTGCACGTGTTACATAATTATCATCTAAAGTAACAGCTCTAACCTCCACAATTTTTATCAACACACAATGTCTAACAACATGTGGGAGAAAGGAAACAGAAGCTCATATCTACGTAAAGCACATCCGAATAGCTCTGTAAACATGCGTAGCTGGCCCAACAGCTGTGACTCACACCTGCTTCAAGGTTTTTTTTTTTTTTCTAGCCTCCAAAGACTACGCCGAGCAAGCATTCTTTCCCACATTGATGACAGGAGAGAAGTCAGGTGGAGAGCTGCCATTTCCCCCTGGTGTTTGATAAGCTCTAATTTCACAATAATAACAAGTTTTCCACAGTGACTTTCTTTTAAAAGTCTGCCACGTGCCTTTGCCCAGCAGTTTCCCTTCTTCACCAAGTAATTGAAGGTCTCCTCTCCCCAGGGCAGTTTTCAAGTAGAAGCCTACATGCTGGTGTGCTTTTTCCAGAGGCCAGCAACCAGCTTCCATTTGCTGAAAATGAGTTGGAGAGGGGAAAAATGGAAAGAATCCCACAATTATACATTTTTCCACCCATATTGTTCTTAGTCCCTCACTCCCAGCTGAGTCTATGAAGTTTTCACCATGAAATTCCATGACTTGAGAAAATGTACTAACCTTGTGGGCTGTCACAAAGGAAAAAAAAATTGACACCTTACAATTGATGCCTAGGGAGAATAACATTCTGCAAGATAATTTATTTAAGGCATTTATGGGACTGTACACAATCAACGAAAAGATAAATGACAGAAGTTTCAAAAATGGAACCACAGGACTCAAGCCCTGGACCCAGAGCACTGACAATCTGACCAAACACAACTCGGGAGGGTTCAAGAGTCCTGGACTTCATACCCTTCCTTCCAGACCTCGAATGATTACAAAGAAAAGCTGCTGAAATTTTAATTTAGATTCCTAAGAGAAGCTTGGCATGGTGGCTCACACCAGCAATCCTATTATTTGGGAGGTGGGGGCAGGAGAGTCAGGACTTCAAGGCCAACATTACTTACATAGGGAGTCAGAGGAAGAAAAGGAAGCTTTCATCAGCCCCTCTGCAGGCTGTGCTGTCCTCTGCCAATCTTGCTCCTTGTAAGTCTTTCCTCTGTGGTTGTCAACTGTGTGTATCAGGAATGTGAATGACACACACCCAGTGGCATCTATAGGAAATGTGTGGTTTAGTGAGAAAGAGAGAGAGAGAGAGAGAGAGAGAGAGAGAGAGAGAGAGACAGAGACAGAGACAGAGAGACAGAGAGAGGGAGGGAGGTAGAGAGAGAGAGGAAGGTAAGGAGGAAGGAAAGAAGCAAGGTAGAGAAGGAGGAAAGGAGGAAGGAAAAGGAGGAAAGGAAGGAGGGAAGAAAAGAACTGATACCAGTTTGGGAGTCAAAAGAAGTTTTGATCTAATACCATATTTTCATATTCAAATTTTCAGGACCCAAGAAGGGATAGAAGGCAGAAGATGGCCCTGTGACTTCTCTCATGTCAGATTTGCCTAGTTGCCCTGACCTCAGTCAAGTGACACACAAATAGCAAGGCATAGCTTTAGGGGATGGTGAAATGATCCACTCAAGGTAGTTATTGACAACCACCACACTGATTAAGCCACTTAAAATTGTTAGTCCTTTTGTTAATGGCTAGACCTAGAACCAGCTTGTGCCTCTGAAAACTCTCTTGTTTTCAAAGCTCAGGAGAACAGCATTTTAAAAGATAAATCCACAATGAAATCAGAGTTTGAGGCTTGGAGTGGAAGGTTATATTGGGTGAGGTGTTTGAGGGCCTGCTTTCTTTGTAAGCATTTGCTTTCTTTGTAAAGCTCAGCTGTATTTTCCAGATGCTATATGATACGATGCTTGGACCATGGTCAAGGTCATGAATGGACAGTCTCAAAAGTATTGTTGCCACGGTGAATGTGGCTGTTTTGGGCTGGAAGGCTGAGAAGTGACCAAGACAGGATGACACTACCTCAGTCATTTCACTGGAAAGGAGACTTGCTGTCACATCTATTCCTATGTATCCTGAGAAGTTTCTGTAAGCTGAATTTATCATCCTAAGAGATTTTGCTGTTGTTATCACCAAGAAGACCTCATCTCAGATGGCTCGTAGGCTTGATCTCTGACATACCCTCTGGTTCTAAAGATGGAACATGGAGCATAAGCACATGGTGAGGTTCCGGGGTCCAGGATCGACTATCTAGGCATGCCGCTACAGTTTGGATAAAGATTCAGAAAGGTGGCTGCTCCTGCTTCCAAAGACAGCCTGGGAATAGATGCAAGCTTTACCAGCTGCTTCTAGAAGACGGAAAAGAGATCCATCTCTGGTGTATTCAGAAAAGCCACCTCTGCTGACATCACGGTATCATTTCAGATCTGGATATCTGGAAGCATAAAGAGATAAACTAACAATGCTCCAAACCAAAAAACTACAGTGACTCTCTATGGAGAGAGAGAGAGAGAGAGAGAGAGAGAGAGAGAGAGAGAGAGAGAGAGAGAGAGAGAGAGAGAGAGAGGCATGCAGATGTGTGAGCGAGCCCAGCCTATGGTTCCAGTGTACAGACAGGTATTCCCATTTCAAGTCATTCCTGTGCCAGCAGACACACCTGCCCTCCCCCAGTCACTGTTGGCTCCTCTGACACAGCAGATAGAGGAGCTCAGGGATCAGCTCTGCTCGAATAAATTACCACGCCACGGTGTTCATGCATAAAACATGGTACAGAAAGCTGGGCCCCAGGGAGCTCAGCCCAGCAGCCGCCTTGGGGCCAGTCGGGAGTTAAAGGAAGGGAAGTAAAGGAAAGCTAGAGATAAAATAAGCCAACGGAAACCTCAGACATTAAAAAAGAGAGAAAGGGGAGAGAGAAGTTTTAAAAAACATTCTTTGTAATTTTTATGCGTCTGGACCGACTTCCGGAATTGCTGTGAGACTTTGGTGGCGTGGTCATGAGGTCTTAGGCCGCTGTTTGGGGACCATGGTGTTGCCTTCGCGATTACACTGGATCAGAAACAGGCCATGGAGGGACAGGATCCGGAGGCGGCGGCTCCACCGTGAGTGTCCCCAGAAGAATGGCCCACACTTTTGTACCCACCCCTATTTGCTCTACACACTTGTCCTCTTGTGTTTTCCCTTCTCGCCTTCCTTATTCTTGTACTTCCAGGGAACTTTCTATTTTCCAGTCCGGCCTCTCTCTTCCGTCTCTTCCCCACAGCCTCATCCCAGTTAGAAGTAACCAGATACAGCTTGAGCAAAGTGGCCGGCAGGGGAGGGCCTCTTTACTCCTCTATCTAGATGGGAAAACACATATTGTTCGTGGTGTTCCGTGAATTGAGCTACATGTTAAGTACAAGAATGGAATGTCTGAATGCAGATGGTGTGCTGGGAATGGGGCTAAATTCAAGGATCAATGAGTCCGTTTCTTGACAGAGCTGCGTCGAGTGTTATTTTTTTGTTTTGTTTTTTGTTTTGTTTTGTTTTTTTCCCAGTGATCAAACTCACAGGAAGGTTCCTGTTGGGTTGGCACGAATTTTGACCAAAAATGAAATTTTCTTGTGGGAATAATCAGAGAAAAGTAAGAGCAGTTCAAATATACACCAAGATCATTATTGCCAACAAGTAATAGACGATCGGACAGTGTAGCAGGAGACTGTTTCCACAAGGGAGAGAGCTTTTGCTCTACCTATCTATGATGTGACAGAATCACTGATAAAACTGTGCGAGCTTACAGTTGACCTTTGACTCCTAACATGCAGTGACAGTAAAGAGGATGAGAGACTGTTGTAAGCAAGACACCATGGCCCCTCAGAAGAGTGTCGTCATAGTTTACCACTTTTCAAATACAACTAAAAGATAATAATGTCTAAGCCAAAGCTTTCAAATGTCAATGTTGGTATTTAATTCTTGAAACATAAGCTTGAAAATCATCAGTGGTCCGGGTTAAAATGGTATACCTGTTTACAATCAGCTACCAAGCCATTTTATTTGTGTGATGTTCTCATTAGAGCTCTGTCCCATCCTGTTATTTGTACCTATCAGCATGTTGATGGGTCCTTCTTATGGGTTAAAAGGCCCTGATGCAGACAGTTAAATTAAAATGAATGGGTGCTTTAGGATGGTGTCAAATACACAGTCATGGTCCACTAGTTGAGGAGCAAACAGGGCCAGTTGGAGACTAAATGGCATTCGTATACAAGGAAATATTTTGCATTCAGCAAAGTATTTTTCCTTAGTATAACTGCAAGAGCCATTAGTAATTTTCTCTGGCCTTTAACCCTTGATCAACCACTTCTTTCAATTGAGACTTCCTTAGGCTCAAATGAGAGAGAGAAAGAGAGAGAGAGAGAGAGAGAGAGAGAGAGAGAGAGAGAGATGCTGAGAATGGAACTCAAGACCTTGTGCATGCTTGGCAAGCACTCTGCCACTGATCTATAGCCCCAGCTGTTTGAACTACAGTATTTTGTTTTGTTTTTGTTTTGCTTTGTTTTTTTTGTCTTGCTTCATTCTGTATGTATTGGGAATCTTGCAGGTTTGAGACAATACCATGGCTGGGTGTGGGGGTATGTCACTAGGAAAAGGGGGATCCTGGACTTGCATGGTTTCACCAGTATGGGTACAAAGTCAATTTATACCCTAAAAGTTGTTACGGAAGCCTGCTTTACTTCAGAGAGGACACTTGTATTGTGAAGCTGATTGTTGGGTGCTATGCTGTGATCTGCACACAGTTTCAATATGAAATGTCACTAGACGTTACTTCTAAGCTAAGCAGCTTAGCAGTGAAATAAGTATACGTTTATTTATTTTACATAAGTATAACATTACTTATATATGTATATATACTTATATACAATAAATATATACTTTTATCACATTTACTATATATAAGTATATATACAGACACTCTTTGGAATAAGTGTCTCAGGAATTCTGTCATTCCTTTAGGATGGTCATGAACCTTGATGTATTAGCGCCCTAGAGAGAAGAGCAGGATTGAACAGCATTTTAAGGGATGGATTTTACAATTTAGGGGAGACCTGTGCATATTCAAAGGGCTTGAGCTAAAGGGATGAAGGGAGAAGCAATGAGAACAACTAGGGGAGAGCAAGGAGAGGGCTTCTTACTGCCCTCACCTGCCTACAAAACTATCATGAGATTTTGGAACTGCTATAACCTACCTTGACAACTTCTCTACTCTTCTGTCTGTGAGTCTTTTCTCACAGCACAATGTCCCTTCCAATTGAAGACTTAAGACTTTCAGTCCTATACTGTCATTGGGAAAAAAATAAGTTAATTAAGGTTAGTTTCCTCCAACATATAAGGGACCTTGAATGGTAGTAAAAGCTACATATGCTATGACTTCCCAGTCTATGCAGACATTATTAATCAATCACATCTCTCCCTCTAGCTCCAAGAGCATCCTTAGCATCTTTTGTTACACAGCACCCAAGGCTACTAGTCTAACTAATTAGTGTTGGCTCTTTAGTTGAAACCTGTTTTTCATGCCCTATTGCTTCATAAAGTTAATTGCCTTAATCAGTTACCTCCAGTTTCCATGAGTGAAATGCTGGGCATAAATCAGCTGAAGCATCTGCCAATTCATTGGTCCACCCATCCTGAGATCAGCGTGTGGCCATATCACCTGAGTTCTTATCCAGAAGCAGAATTCAGTTCTGTGTAGCAGCAGGTCTGAGGCTCTCACTAAGCAACAGCTTCCCAGGGTTCCTCAAGGCACTTTCCACTACTTGCCTGTTTGCTTCTTCAAGGCCCTAAGAGTCACTTGTTGCTGCCATGCTCTCCTTCAAAGGGCTTGATTGATCAGGTTAGACTCCAATACCGAAGATAACACTCCTTTTGATGATCTCAGAGTCAGCTGACCAAGGACCTCTCAATGAAATCTCTACAGCGCTGCATCTTCACCTTATGGCATAATCTGCCCATGGAGGTGAATATCATCATATCCATTCAGAGCTTAAGTACACAAAAAATGAGGAAATTACACAGGGCATGTGTACTAGATAAAAATCCTAGGGCTTTCCTAGAATTTTGCTTACTGGGAAACCCAATGTCATTCTTACCACACAACCGAAAATTTTTTTTAACTACTGAAAAGCTTTAGATTTTTTTACATCTTTTTTGAGAAATTTTAAATATACAGACAAGTTGATAAGTGGTGTCATGCATCCCATATGCCTGTCACTTAAATGCACAATGCTAATAATTTGTCGTATTTACTTCATTTATTTCCCAGCTGAAACATTTTAAAATAAATTATAGATATTATAACATGTC